AATATCGATTGCCTCCCACTGTAGTTGGTGTTACTGGTCCGCACAAATCTGCATGAACTAACTCCAACGGGTTGTTTGCACGCCACTGAGTTTCTTTCGGGAACGATTGTCGGGTCTGCTTACCAATTAAACATCCTTCACATACCTGTGTAGGATGCTTTATCTTTGGTACTCCATACACCAGTTCCCTTTCAACCATGGATTCTATGATCCTGAAGTTCACGTGACCAAGTCTCGCATGCCATAACCACGCCTCATCATCCAAGCTAGTAGCTAAACATATAGGTTGAGTTGTATGGAGAGAAATTTTGTACAATCTATTACTAGATCGTTGAACCTTCATGATCAGCCTTCCATCTTCATCATGTACCCGCAAATACTGATGTAACATCTCGATTTTATACCCGTCTTCTGTCATCTACCCTAAACTCAAGATGTTGCAATGCAACGCGGGTATGAAATATACCTCCGATATCAGAAGTTGCTCACCATCCTTGCACTCCACCAAGATGGATCCTTTTCCTGCAATTTTCACCTTAGAGCCATCACCAAATCGCACCTGTCCAATCACATTTTCATCAAGCTCCGTGAAAAAACTTTTCACACCGGTCATATGGTTGCTAGCACCATTATCCAAGTACCAAACGTCTTTCTCGTTTCCTTTCTGTCCTGGAAACACCTTGTCCTCGTTTACTAGCACCATGTTGTTTGTCTCTTCACCATGGACAATCAACAGTAAAGCGGGTCCTTCTTCTTCCGTCTGAGTCAAGTTTGCCTCATCTCTTTTTTTTCTCGGTGCTTTGCATTCAGATGCATAGTGACCATATTCCTCACAATTGAAACACATAATATGACTCTTATCCCTTCCTCTTTGGCGATTATTACTTGAGTCACGAGGCACCGACGAATTGCCCCGACTACCTCTGCCTCGTGCACTTCCTCTATCACGACCACCCGATCGACCCCCTCTATCATGGTGTGACGGGCCCCGTCCTCTACCGCCTGTTGAGAACCCACCCCGTGAAGACTTTTGATTGAGCTTGTTTTCTGTTTGAGTAAGTAACAAACCTGTTTCCTCACTTGTTTGGTTGCTAAGGGACTTTAGTCGGTCCTCATAAGCCTTAAGCCTGCCAATTGCTTCTTCAAAAGGCATGCTATCCAAATCTGAGTACTGCTCAATCGATGCCACCAGCTGGAGATACTTGTCTGGAACTGAATCAAGTAGCTTTCTCACCATTGTGCTATCTTCAAGGGTTTCACCGAGGCTGCTAAACTTTGAAATTATCCCACTCAATTTTCATGTGAACTCATCGATAGACTCTCCGTCTTTCATCCGTAATGCATCGAAATCACTTTTGAGTGTGTGTAATCTGGCCTTCTGTACCCTATCTGCTCCCAGGTACCTTAACTTCAAGGATTCCCAAACTTCTTTTGCCGTCTTCTTCTTCGCTACTTGCAACAGAATATCTTCAGGTACTGATTGAAAAAGAAAAACTCGAGCCGACTTGTTCTTCTTCTCATCCACAGCTTCACCCGCTACTGGTTCAATGGATTCCCATATTCCCTGGGCATCCATTATAGCTTCCATCTTAATTGCCCACGTGGTGTAGTTCGTGGGAGTCAACATCGGACATTGAAATGGCACTCCACCATTCTCTTTTGTAACAAGTTGGGTGGATGATGACATGGATTCGTAGCGGATATATTTAGGCATGAACCGTACTCTCTGATACCAAATGTTGGAAACCAGAAAGCAAAATATCAAACTACACACTCAAAATATGCAAACTAAATTAGGAATTAGAGGTACACACACTTGGAAGAACTTTTAGAAGTTTTTATTCTAATGTTATGTCAAAAGTAAAACAGGGATCCAAACATTTATAGACTACTACATTGAATGCTGAAATAAAAAGCTTTAAACTAAGAATTGAAACTGAAATAAAAAGCTTCAACTCTCGTGTAGATTGTTTCAGCTAACAATCAACTAGTTGCGATTTTGGTTTCTGTGTCCTGCACTACTATACCAAAACTTCTAACAATCATAACTTCCTCATACGAAGTTAAATTTTGGCGTTCTCTATATGCATGCTCTCGGTTTTACGACTACTATGTTTAGATCACTAACGCTAATAAGTAATCTATCTTTGATTCGTATCTTACAACGTGCATAGTCACGTCGGTTTAAATTGCCAAAGTTTGAAGGAACATAACTTCTTCATACTAAATCGAATTCAGGCATTTTATATATCTATGGAAATCGTATTGATGTTTCCTACATGTTTATGACGATTACTTTGGCTAAAAAGTAGTATATCTATACTTCGAAATTTATAAACCACAATTTATATTAAATTATATTGGAATATGAAAATGGGATGTACATAGTCAATCTTGGGCGTGGTATACCCAAACCCTGCCCGACCATCGAACACATCATCGAGCCTATTTGGAGGTTGTAAGCCTTATATTCTTAGATATCTTTTTTAGTCATTTTATATGTATAAATCAAAATTGCCAAACAGATTAACTTATTAGTTTATTGTAATTTAATATGATATAAGCTAATCGAAACACATTTTCTAAAAGTCTATTTTATACCATATAATTTAATAAGCAAGTAAAAATAAAAATAGGTTATTTTAAAAAGGGAAATGATTGTATATTTTTTTAAACTAAATGAAAGACTTTTGAGTATTTCAAATTTTATCGATAGTGTTCATATAATGATTTTTTTATTTGTTATTAAAGGTTTTTATTGCTACTTGTCACACTTTCATTCAATTTGTCAAATATCATTTTGTGATTATTTTGAATTAATTTTTTTTCACGTATCATTTTATAAGTTTTTCTATTTTATTAAATTCCACATAATATTTTAATATAATTTTTACAATAAATATAGTAATAAATGAATATCAATTTCATAAATTAACTTACCTTTTAATTTTAAAATTTTTCAAAATTAAAGTTTATTAGTTTCTTTTATTTATTTAAATTAGTATTTGTTTAAATTTAAAAGATAAAAAAATATTTTTATTATAATAATTTAATATTTTTTTTCTTATAAATTCAAAGTTCTCAAATATTTTTACTTTTATATTTAATTTTTGTTTAAATTAACTCATATTATACATGGCTATCCCAACTAGTTGGTAACATCAAAATGTACCAAGTTTTTTTTTCTTAGTATTTGTAATAGCAAGTTTCCAATGATAGAACCGATAAAATGTAATATCAAAATGTACCAAGTTTTTTTCTTAGTATTTGTAATAGCATGTTTCCAATGATAAAATCGATAAAATGTAATAAATTTAAAGACTTTCATATCAAATACAAAGGGTTTTTGACACTGTAGCACATCAATGTTTGGTTAATTTGCACATTTAGTCACTTAAGTTTTTTTGTGCTCAATTGATCCTTAATGTTAGTAACTACCGGCTAATTAAAGGAATGTGAGCAAATACTACCTGTTTAAGGGTCATCGCTGACGTGGATTCGCTTATGTGGACAAGCATTTGACCATGTCATATGTAACGTGTAAACCATCCTTAATTGAACCTTATATTGAACCATCGAGGATACATTGTTACCCCAAATTAGGTCAGTGCCTCCCTTCCGAAACTCTACACTCAATCGATATAACCAGAACAATGTCTGCCTCTTCTAGTCGATCAATCAAGCTTCTGCGTGTCGGAAACGTTCGTGATGATGATCCCTGTCCACCTTGCGATTGTCAAGACGCAATAAGCGTGGAAAGGACTGCCTGGATCGACGATAATGTAGCTCGCAGGTTTTGGAACTGCAAAAACTCTTTGGTGAGTATTCATTTTGTTTACTAACACCATATTTGTTATTTTGAGCTGAAGATGTACATATTTTCATTAATTGCAACCCTAACCCTAACTCTGGTTTTCCCTTGTAATCAAGCAGTTGTAGGTCCGAAATGCAAGTTCTTTATGTGGAAAGACAAAGAAATGGAGGAGGGTTACTACAAAGAACAGCTTCGCAAGATGAGGTTTGAGCTGAAAAGGAAAGAAGAGTTTAGTTAAGTTTCGAAGGTTCAAAAGAAGTTGGTTAAGCTGCAACAAGCTATGGAAGCAGATAAGCAAGTGTTTGAGACACAGTTGATGGAGTTGACGAAGCCAAATAGAATGTTGAAGTGTGGGATCTTTGTTATGGTAATTGTAGTCATTTCCATATGGTTGAAATGGACTTGAATTGTGCAGCAGATCAAATAGGTGTTTATGGTTGATGGTATATAATTCCAACCAGTTTTTTGGAAAGTGTATGGGTGGATGTTAAAAAGTTATTAGCTTTTTTGGGAAGTGTATGGGTGCATGGGTACATGGTCAAGGTTAGATCCTAGTTGTAATGTATAGTCAGGTTTTTGGTTGAATGCTTGGTTTATCAGTGTGTATGGGATGTTAGATGTAATGGAATGTAGATGTAATGGGATAGCAGTACATGGGAACAATTGTAATGTCTTTGTGTTGATTCAATGAATGATATGAAATATCCTAGTTAAGATATACCTTGCTGAATTTTATAATATGCATGTGCTCCTTTTATAAATTAAAGTGTGGGTACCACATTGTCGGCCATAAGGAACTCACTTGGTCCATTTAAAAGTGGACTGTCTTTAGAGTTCTGTGCAGGGGTATATATGGAAAAGTAAGGGTATATGGACCACTGACCACACGTGGTATATAAGGACATAATCAATCATAATTTTAAATTATCTATATATGCAAATATATTCCCTTGCCATGTAGTTTAACCAAACAAGTCCTTGCCATGCATGCAACTTCAAATTAACACAACAAAAAGCTCAAAATAACAATCAACTTAAGTAACACAAAATACACATACATAAACCAACATAGTTTCATACAAAGTAGCATAGTTAATAGCAGTTCCATAAAAACAACAACAATACACCAAAACACATCATTTAACACTAAATACCATGTTCATATCACATAAACCAACACTTAAAGTTATTCTAGAGTAACAAGTTTAGCTTCTAAATTCCCAAGTGCATCATTTCCACCAACTTTCTTGCCCAGTTTCAACTTGATAATCCTTTCAGATTTCTTCCTCTTGATTTTCTTCAAGAAGGTTGCAAGTGGTGTTTCTCTAGCCTCTTGTTCTTGCACATGAACCTGACTAGGTTCTCCATTAGCTGATGCATCAAACTCCAAAGGAGTGAGTTCCACCTCATCATAGTCTTGTTGCACATGCACCTCATTGACTGCTTCTGCACCATCATTTACTGCTCCTCCATCATTGACTGCTTATCCACCATGAGTTACTGCTCCTCCATCATTTACTGCTCTTACACCCTGATTGACCAATATAAAAGATTATTAGAAATTTAAAAAGAAATTGTAAAGATTAACCATTTAAATACTTATGTACCTGTTTTGTTTTTCTTTTAGCTTTGGTTTTAGGAGGCCTTGTTAAAGTACAAGTTCTTTTGTTGTGTCCTTCAATCTTACAAAGACTACATTTTTGTTTTTTTACCAGCCTTGGATACCTTCACCGGCTCCTTACCTTTGTTGGGTGTTTGGGTAGTTGTCTTTGATTTTCTACTTGACTGGTTTAGGGTTTCTGTTGCATCCCTTTTCCTTTTAGTTGCAGGTCTCCTAGGCATAGCTCTACGAACATGAGGTAAAGGTGGGGTGTAATCAGTTGTAGACAACAAATTACTTCCATTCATAGGTGCTAACCTAAACTTGTATGCCTTCATATAAGTGATGCTACTAAACATTTTTTTCCACATATGACTCTACATCCCTATTCATAAAACTAGTAGCTGCAACAGAATGGACACAACCGATTCCATTAAGCTGCCATAGCCTGCATGAGCAAGTTCTTTCTTCCAGATCCACTTCATAAGCATCTGTAGTTCCTCTTACTTCAAACTGATTTAGTCCACTAGGTAAGACTTGGTAATGTCTTAGACCCTTCTTAATGTCATTCATTATTTCTCTAATTGTTGGACAAATTTGGTTGCCCCATCCTATACCCTTGCATTTCTTCTTGAACACCCTCTCCATCATATACATACTCAACTCCTCTAGCATGGTGATAATTGGTTTCTTCCTAGCATCAACAATCACATCATTAAAACTTTCTGACATTCCATTCTCCACAGCATCACAACATCTTCCTGGTTGGAAGTAGGCCCTTGACCATGTTTTGGGGTCTTTATCCATCAGATACTGATGAGCACTTGGGTCTAGCACTTCAAGCTCTTTCATGGCAACCTTAAAATCTACCTCTGTTGTTGCTTTACACGCCTTCCAGAAAATGCTTTCATATTGGGCACCAATATACCTTTTCCTAAGGTTTTGGCTAATATGCTTGGCACACTGCCTATGCTCTACATAAGGAAGGAGTTCTTTCACAACCTCAATCATACCCTGTTAACAAATTCTAAATATAGTGAATAAGGATGCAAATAGATAGGAAAATTAATTACAAACAACTAAATTACCTTGTGTTGATCAGATATTACATTGTATCCATAGCCCAAATTAAGTCCTAAATCATCAATGAGTAAATCCAAAAACCACCTCCAATTTTCCTTATTCTCCACACATACTACTGCCCATGCAATAGGATAAATCCCATTGTTTGCATCCCTTCCAACAACACATAATAACTCCCTTTTACAGATCCCTTTAAGGAAACAACCATCTAAACCTATTATCGTCCTGCATCCCTCCTTCCACCCCTTCTTCAATGCATCAAAGCAAACATAGAACTTAATAAAGTAGTTTTTCCTATTTGGCATATGATTTACATCAAGCTTCACAGTGCTACCTAGATTTGATCTCCTAATCTCTTCTGCATACGACCATAACTTTGCATAATGTTCAACTAGGGTGCCATCTATTAGTTGGAGTGCATATTTCTTAGCTCTCCTGCATTGACCAACACTAACATGAATGCCAAACTTCTGTGACACAGCTGTTCTTAGCTTTCTAACACCCATCTTTTGTCTAAGTAAGAACTCTCTTGTATAATGACTCCCTATCCAAGCATAAGTGACCATGGACCCTAACTTGTAGTTCCTTGCACATTTGTGGACTGACTTTAAAGACTTAATTTGGAAGCTTGCTTCATCACTCATCCAAGATGCCCATAACCTAATTGAGCACTCACCCTTACAACACTTAACCAACAATCTTTTCCTATCATTTTTCTCAAAGCAAAGTTGGTACCCATTCATAACAACATAGTTGCATAACATCGATTTTAATTGAGATGGATCTTTGAACCTCATACCAAGTATTGGGATCTGCTTTTTCCATGGAACTAACTCATTAAAAATGGAATGTTGTTGAGTTACATTAGCATCCTCTTCATGCAGATCATGATCATTTATGTTGTTATCATTTCCCTCTTCATCTTCGCCACATAATCTATTTAGAAATTCATCATCCTTTGTCCTATTCATAGTGACTATGTCCTCATTTTAGTCCACATCCACATCTGTTAGGCTATCAATTTCGTCCTCATTCTCACCACCATCAATGCAAGAATCATCTCCATCCTCCTCTTCTATTTTAAAACCAAACCAATCTTCTATTCCTTGACCATCATGGTCCATATACATACAAATTTTACCATCTGTCCCATATGCATGAAAAATGAAACCACCATAGTCTTCATCATTAGCAATAGCAGTTATCCCAAATATTAAGGGCTTACCTGGTTCGCAATAGTATAACTTCTTTATACTTTCTTGCATGAACCGTTCGAGAAATGTGATACATTCACCGTATGTCATTCCAGAAAAATCGTGATCATTGAAATTGAAATTGATACCATGGTTATACGAGAAAGGATTTCTAAGAAAAACACCTTTGAAGTTCAGCTCCACTATAGGGTAGAGTCCATCAGGGTTTGGTGTCGAGATAGACATTGTGGGTTTGTTGACTGCTCACTGACTTCGATCGGAGAAAACGACTTCAAACACTAGGTTTAGTGCTTCGTATTCACTGTAAGATGAGAAAAAGAAAGAACAAAGAAGGAGTGTTTTAGCTAAATAAATGTGTTTATTTTGACCTCTAAATCCTACATGGATAAAATAAATGAATTATATTATGTAAACTTATTCCACGTAAGCAATATCACCGGTTGTTCCGTTTACCGGGTGCATAAGGGGGCAATTAGCCAGTAGTTACTAACATTAAGGATCAATTGAGAAAAAAAAAAACTTAAGTGACTAAATGTACAAGTTGACCAAACATTTATGTGCTTCAGTGTCAAAAACCTTATACAAAAGAGAGATAATAACATAAAAAATTTATAAATTTAAAATTCTTTTTACAAATTTGATTTTTTGATTTTAATTTTAATTATTATTATTATTATTTTTTTTTGTAAACGTAAAAGCAAAATAGAAAAAAGTAAAAAACTTAACAAACCCTAGACATTAACAAACAAAAAATCATCCTAACAACAAAACCAATCAAATTTGAAAAACTTTTAAGATCTTTATGTGAAAAACCCTAAAATGAAACCTTCCACTAAAGTCTATTTGTGCATGATTCTGTTTTGCTGAACCTTATTTACAAAAGACTTTTCATATCCAGGTCGAAAATTTCAGTTCCTCAAATCAATAACAATGGCGCTGATGTTATCAGTGCTCCGACGTCCCAAAGCCAGACGTACCAGCAACGTCGCTGCTGACTCGCTGCTGCATCCGGCAATCCGAGGATCCTGGTTCTCTCCAAGACATTCGTGAACTATCTTACAAACCAATTCGCTTGAAATCACATCCCATAATCCGTCACTCGCTACTATCAAACATTCATCTCCGGCTTCTCTTCTTGTCACCGTGATTTCTGGTTCAGACGTTACCCACTGTTTCAGAAGCCTATCTCCTGTCAATTCGTACCACATCTACATCTAATCAACAATTCTTCATGTTTAATTTCAATTCCATTCCCGATTTGAAAACTAACCTATTGCTCGGGACATCGCCAGGATCCCTTCCACTCGTGCTCCATCTGTAAACATGATTCGTCCACCACAACTTTCGATTCTTGCTCGCTCGTCTTCCCTATCAGGCTGGAATCAACACAATATGAACCAATTTCATAACAATCGTCTTTCAAAAACGGAATGATCGGAAAGTAGTAAATAGTAATGTTTGGGGATGTTATTTACCTTATGGTCGACGGAAAGGGGTATGGCCCTGCCGTTACGGCAGAGGACGGCGCGTGAGTCTCCGCAGTTTGCCACAAATATGTACTCCTTCGTCAGAATCGACACCACCGCCGTCGATCCTATGAAAGACAACTGCGGGTTGCATCTACAGATACTACTCAGTCCACCACACAGACACAATCTCATCGACATCTCATCTATCCGCTGGAAACTCCGCTTAATCGCCGTCTTCCATAGCTCTTCGCCACCACTACTATCCGGCTTGTCTCCGGTTACCTTCATCCCCATTAACTCCTCTTCCATGATAACGTGCATCGTCTCTTTACACAATGCTGATACCTGCTAAAGCTAAACAAATTTCATTGCATCTTCAACGAGGTATGACATAAATACATACCCTTTAGGGAAAAAAGTTTGAAGTGCAATTCTGTCGTTTCAACAAAAGTTACTTTTCGAAATGCAAAGTAATTGTGAAAAATAGGGTTGAGGTTTACGTGAGGTCCGCCGTGTCCATCAAACACACCGAAGAAATCTACCGGCCGGAAACCGTTGATCTCCGGCCGGCATAAGTTCGTCCGAACTGAAACTTCGTCCTCCATTTCACGCTGCCTACCCACCACTGACATGATGCCGTGCACCGGCGGCGGTGGCGTCTCCATGATGCTAATCAAGCTCATGATCGCAGTCGCGGGGGTGGAAGTCGTCGGGATCTCGGTGATCGTCTGTGCCTTCTGATGTTCATCTTCCGTAGCAATAACTGATAAACCAGATGAACCTGCGGCCGACCTCCTCATGGACATCCTCCTCCGTCGTCGCTCACGACATTTCTCCGGCGAATCTTCATCTTTGTCACTCACCATCACACTCTTGCAATTACCGTAAACTCGCTTCATTACCTTCGGCGACAAAATCTAAGGCTTCAGAGATCAGTCATCTCTGGGAAAAGAAATTGAAAAAATATATGGAAACATACAGGTGTCATCTGGAAATCTGATGGGAGTTAACTCCTGCAATGCGACGAGCAACGTGGTAAGCTCTGGTCTGTCGTGGAACCCAGCTCAACTCAACGGGCAGGGTGACTGAGCTGCCCGATCTGACCGGTGACTGACCTTCGCTGACACTGTAAACTGAAAATACAGGAAAAACAACTTTTACAAAATAGTGACTGTATTCATCTTTCATTTTTTTCAAACCTAAACCTGAAAAGAAATTATATATAAAGGAAAATCAATATCTGATTCAAATGAAACCCACAACTTTACCTTTATTTATTAATTTTAATTTAATGCAGAAAGCGTGAAATTTGGAGAAGAAATAACCATTACTAATGGTGAATTCGTTGGTTTGTTTTGATTTGGATCTTGATTTTCTAGCGATGTATGATTCGGCATAGAACTAGGGATGAGATAGAAAGAGTAAATGAATTGGAAGTTACGATAATAGTCCATGGAAATTCTCTCTTTTGATATTTTTATCCCAAACTTAAAGTGAAAAATATTATATCTTTCCTTAAATTTTATAAAAGTTAACATTTGATTTATTCTTTTTGATATTTAATACCTTTTATTAATTCAAATAAACTCCTTCTATGTAAGTTAATACTATAACTCAAAAATACATTATAAAGTTTATAAAATATAATCAATATTTTTTATTCTTTTATTTGAAAATGTCATCATACTCATCAAACTTAATGAAATTTTAGTTTTTATAAAAATATTTCGGTTAAATTGATTATTTTATATAAATTAAATTTAAAAAAAATAGCATGACAAATGTGCCAACCCACACCCTTTAAATAACAATTTGTGTAGTGTGACAAATCCTATATGACACCTATATGAACTGTGGCAAGTGCGATACTACTTATTCGAAATATTGACTTGTCAGATCTACTCATGCTTTGCCAAAACTCTACAAACCGGAAATGTTTGTTACTTTTTGCACGAAAAGTTCGAAGACTGTTAGCGAACAACATTTCATCATTTTCACCATTTGCTGAATTACACCATAGCTTACTATACACAATGTGAAACTATATTGCCACTGCGTTTGTTGATCTCTATTTGACAAAGATTGGATCCTTACTTCGTTGGCTCCTATAGCTTCGTGGTTATACCATTAGATGATCCTATTCTAGAAAGAATTAACCATTAGGTGATCCTATTCCAGAAAGAATTCTCACCTACGTAGTTGATGTGATTTGGATCTTCATTTATATCGACTCAAGAGCGAGCCAAGATTATCTCTTCCTCTTTGCTCCACATACAGACCATTTTGAGGGATGAAGAAGATGATAGAAAATATAAAAGGGTAGGAGGGTTGAATAAAAAGGGTTTGAATGTGGTGAAAATGAAGGATGTTGGTATTTATAGTAGACCATGGAAAGTTTAAAATTTGAAACTTGAAGAAAAAGAAAGCGGTTAGATTTTGAAAATGGAGTATTTTTTTGAAAAATATGATGTTTTTAAAATTGTAATTAGTTAAAAAACGGTATTTCTCTAATAACGGCTATATAACTTGACTGAGTCCATCTATACCTAGTCCTTAGCATAGTTACTCACGTGTATATACTCCTTAATTATAAGGAGCTAAATTGGGTTTCAGTTTACATTTTTTCCATCTATAAATTAATGTATATGTTCAAAATATCTAATACACAGAAAATACTTTATGATTCACTCAGTACACTCTCATATGGTATCAGAGCTGTGAGGATACATTTTTTTTTCTATTCTTCTTTGATCGTCTTCCTGAGTGCATCATTACCATGAATGCTACCAATCCTCAACTCCTTGCTGTAGCTCACATCGCTTCCACAAATCTCAATTTTCAAATTCCCCCAATCAATGTCAAATTAGACAGGGACAATTACCCTTTGTGGCGCACAACCATTCTTTCTGCCCTTGAGTGCTTTGATCTAGAATCATTTTGTAACGACTAAAATTTTCCAACCAATTTAAACATTTTAATCCATTCCAAAAATCATTAAATTAATACAACTTGTTTTCAAAATAGTTTTAAACATCAGAGTATCCCCAGAACCACATCACAAAATTATGAAATATGAGGAGCGGTACGATCACGCATTTGCCTTGCTACGATCACCTGATGTACCTAAAACAATAAACTAAAACCGTAAGCTCGAAAGCTTAGTGAGTTCCCCCAAAAATACCCATACACACATAACCATACACATACATCAATAAACAGCATATTATGGGTCCAATCAACCGTCGGGTTGGAATACCCCAGGCCCTCAACCATCAGGTTGGAATGCCTAACATACTACGAGTCTAATCATCCCTCGAGATGGAATACCCGAGGCGCACAACCATCGGGTTGGAATGCCAACATACTGTGACTCCAATCATCCTACCGGGATGGAATACTCTTGGCCCACATCCATCGGGTTGGAATGCCAACATATTGTGAGTCCAATCATCCTACCGGTATGGAATACACCTGGCCCACAACCATCGAGTTGGAATGCCCAAACACTAGCAAACATGTGCATCTATCAATTAATCACATAACAGTCTACTGCAACGACATACTGGGGCCCTGTCATCCTACCGGGATGGAATACCCTCTACAGTTATTCAAATATACACACATATCACAGGTAATCTCTTACCAGCACACAGACAGTCTGACCATCTACAAGTCACTAAGCATAACCAAATCTAGTCTACCAGGTTGTCAATCTAACCAACCTTACTAGCATATAATCATCCATTCTAGCAGAATACCATACTAACATATCACAACAGCAATTACTCAAATAACAATTTAAAGGGTCGACCTTGGTGCCTTAGCCCCTTGGTATAATGAGGATAACTCACCTTGCGAAGTGTCGAAATCCTACAAATCTCTGACCGCTGCCTCACCGGAAATTCCAACTATCACATGATAATCAACAAGTTAGAATCCAACATAACTTTCAAGGCCAAGTGCCACACCACTCATTAAGTCCATTGTCCTCCTATTGGGCCAAGACCCAAAACCAAATCCTCATGCAAAGCCCAATATTGGCCCAACTTACTAAATTGGGCCCATCTTTCCAATCAAGCCTAGATCCAAGGTCCATAATAATTATTGGGCCCAAATTACTCCATCCATACTGTTCAGTCACGGCCCAAGCCCCACTAGCCCACAAACAACCCAATTACTCAAGGCCCAAAATCTAGAAATCTAACAAAGGGCGTACGGTGGGCGTACTCCTCTGGTACGCAGGGCATACGTCGGCTTGTTGACTTGAAAGCGGGTCGTTGACCCCCTACGTTGGGCGTTCAATAAGTTACACTAGGTGTAACGCACGTCTGTACCAAAATCCTTCCATGTGCTTAATGGCTTAAGCACTTAAGCCCATATGCTAGATCAAGTGACAAAAAGGGCCTAGGACTCATAAAGTCTCAATCTTTATCCTTTTTGGACGTCTATAAAGCTCTTAACACAAGGTCTTAACCCATTAAGACCTTCCTACTTCATACATGGGACAACCAAAGCCATTGGGACCTCATTTTTCTTACTCAAGACCTCTCCAATGGTCTGGAAGGACAACTCATCTTAACCAAAACACATCACGCATCATAATGGGGGTTTTCAGGACAAGAATGGTGTCATAACTTTACAACACTTAGATCCACACAAAATAAATGTCAATCAAGAAGCTTTATACCATTTAGGAGCCCTTGAACCACCAGAAAACTTCAGATCTACACGCTGGCCTTCTTCCTCTACTCACTAGATGCAACACCTTCTTCTCAAAACACTTCAAATTCACTTCAAAAGCTCACTGTAACATCCAGATTCCTAGGTATATTATTTTATTCTTTTATTTTGGAGTTTGTGGAGGGACTCGGTGATTTTGTGCTTAGACTCGCTGAGTAGGGTCGTGGATTCTCATCCGGGTTCATGACTGGACTCGGCGAGTCCATGAGTGGACTTGGCGAGTCCACGCTGTTTAATCAAACCCAGATTTCTAGGGTTTGGGACCTATTTAAAGGCCCTTAGGGCTGTCATTTGTGGCTACCAAACCCCAGAGAGAAACCCTAAAAGATCTAGAGCGATTGTGAGAGGAAAGGAGCCATTTCTTGATCTTTATGGTTGATTCTTGCAAGAAGGAGGTGTTTCCAGCTTAGAGGAGACCAAGGAGGTGGTGCATCTGTGGATTTCAAGCTAAAGACTTCACCTTTGAGGTACTATATCGCCCCTTTATCTGTTTTTTTGAAGGAATCCATAGATGTAGAGTTTTCATGTCCTTTAATGGAAGGAATTGTGAGAATATGGCCCCTATTCGCTTTGAGACTTCGGATCTGGACCCATAGTGGTCTAAAGAGCTTATCTCATCTTGCTTTATGTTAAGCCATAGAGGTGTTGAGCTTAGGATGTTATTTTTGGGGCTAAATAACCAAGTGAAACCTTCTAGACGTCCCATGAGTGTCAAGATTCGAGCTTTACATGTTTATCAGGCTTGGGAAGGTCAGATCTATGGACCAAAGGAACACATCTGACCTCAAGAGGTCAATTGAGTTTGTGCATGGCATGAACTCGCCGAGTCCAAGACATAATCAGCAAGTAGGGCTAGGGTTTCCCGTAAATCACTCAGTTAGTAGACTTGTCGAGTTGGGGAATAACTCAGTGATTCAGAGAGGGATTAGAGGACTGGGGTTCAAGGTGGAACTCGCTGAGTTGATCTTGAGACTCGGCGAGTTGAGTCGGGGTGGCCCTGCGATTCATGATAGGTGTGACTCATCGAGCAAGGGGATGGACTCAACATGCCAAACGAGTCTAGGAAGTTAGTGGACACGTGTAGACTCACCGAGTTGCCCAAGTGCACTCGACAAGTCGGATCAAAGTTTGACCTTTGACTTTGGTTGACTTTTAGGGGGTTGGTCAACAATGAGGGCCTTTGAGCCAAAAGAGGGGTAAAATGGTCTTTTACCCTTCTGAGGGTGCCAAGAGAGGGTTGAGTCTAGTCCTGAGAGTTATATTTATGAGAGTATTACTTTATGTCATTAGGCGGTGGCTAGATCGTATTTCTACCGAGTTAGAGATTTACCGAGACATCTGAGGTGGGTCTTCTCACTATACTTTACCTTGAGTGGTAATTAGAGCTATGTGACAGAGTTATTGTATGCTACTTATGTGTTGTGTTGCACTGCATTATTTCTATGTGATTTATGCCATGTGTATATCAGAGTATATCAGAGATAGAACCGGAAGGTTCACAGAGCTAGGACCATAGGGTCCACAGAGTTAGGGCCTAAGGGCCCACAGAGTTATAGCCTCGAGTGGCTAGTATGTGTTGTGTATAGTATTTTTGGGAACTCACTAAGCTTTATGCTTACAATGTTATGTGTTATGTGTTT